GTAATTTTCCTTTTCTTTGAAGAATTATTTCTCATTCAACAGATCTGTTCCAAATGTGCGACCAGGTCCAACTACCCCGGGTGTGGACATTCTGGTAAACCCCACGGAACCAGATAACTCCACATCTCTGCCTGGTTTTAACTATGTGACCCAGGTCTCTACAAAATCCCCCACACCTGGACAGAAGAGTGTTTGTGTACAGATGGATGACGGAAAGTAAGTCACATTCCTATGTTTATATTGCCTTTTGTTTTGTGGATTGAAAATTATGATCACACTCGGTAGTATCTTGAGATTGCCAACTCCAGTGGCATGGTCTAATAAGCCCAGTAATGGTTTGCAATAATATTTTTATATGCATTATGCTTATATAACATTTCTGAACAAAATTATAGTGAAAATGTGGCCTTTTGAGTGATGTGATGCTTCCATATTTTTTTCTGAACGTGACTGATATTTCCTCTATTTTTAAGAAGCCTACAAAAATTAAGAAATCATTGCTTGAAAAAAACAAGTAATATTATTGTTGCCATGCTGTAGGTTTTCTGAACTAATGAGACTCAGAACTCATTGTAGAGAATATGAGCAATCTTTCCCTTTGCTAAACTTAACAAACATTTCTTACCTCCCTTTAGCCCTAAAGCGGCATTGGCTTTTTATTAACCACAACCTTCATCATTACAGAAGATGGGTACAGAAGAAAACCTGTTGTCTCTGGTAACCAATCAGTATGTACAGTTGCTTACGATCCCACTGTTTTAAGAAAATAGAATTTTTAACTTTTCAAAAGTCACCCCTAAGATCCCGTTCTGGTTCCCTCTGAGGGTCTAAATTCGGAAAAGATCCATCATTTCAGATCATAATTTACGGAACAAAATCCCAGGTGGGCACAGCCGATCAACCATGAGTGGAAATCTGAGATCATTGAATTGCCCATCGCGTCAAAGATCAGCTACTCTTGTGAATGTGATCACATAAGCATTGCAAAACTTGATGAAATGGTTCAATGTTTGCCTCACGGGATCACACCGAGGTGTGAACTGATTGACGTGTTTGTTTATCTCACAACATTGCACACGCATCTGAGCTCTCCACCTAACCTTACTTCATTTACTATGTGGGTACGGCCTACACGTTCGCTCCAGGCGAGATCACATCGAATTGTGAACTCTTCCTTGGCCATTGCAGCAGTAAAATTGTCTCTATTTGCTAATTTGCAAGACAGACTAAATCTTAATTGGTGTGGTCATAATCACAACATAATGATGCATAACGAAAAAGGTGGGGGAACTCGGTCACAGATGGAAAGCTATAAATTTTGGATAGATAAGTGGAGGGGAGGGGCAACTGTATAAGCGTAGAATTTGAGACTCACGATAGGAAAATAAGTGTAAATAGCATGCCTCATATGCCACTGTGATTGGTCATCAAGGTTGACCACTCTTTTCCTGCCATAATATGTTATAAACTCACCCAGGGGTCGCGTCAGTTTATTTTAGAGTGGAAGGAGACCATTTTACCTGCTGTGGGCCTTAACATGGGTCACAATAGATTCTTCCCTTGGTCTGTCGGCTAAGCTCCCGTTTGCCTAAGATCCGGTTCGTCTAAGATCCCACATTTCCTTGCTCTGAGCACCGGGATCTTAGGCGGAGACTACTGTACTACTAAAACCTGTTTGTCTGTCATGTGGCACATGTAAATGTTGAATTTGTTTTTCCTTTTAGGGGCAACATGATCTCAAACTGCTATTCGGTGCTTGTCATAGATCCAGGTACAGCTTTTTTTCAACCTCATATTTTCTTTTAAGCTTATACAATATGCTTCTCTCATTGAAAATATTGTGCTCTCTTGCTTTTCATTCACAGTCAAATCTAGGAAGGCCCAATCAGTTCTCAATTGATATCATCCTGTGCATTATTTGTTAGATACATTAACTGCAGTTTTTGCTCTAGTTGAAGTTTCTTCCTTATATCAAAATAATAAATGTACAGTTTGCATCCAGATTTATGAACATAATGATAGAATATCTTTCAGACCTCCAGAAATCACGATGCTCTCTTGCATAGAATTATTAATTACTAAGACAACATTCTTCTTTTTCGTATTTCTGTTTTTCTTATCACTTTCTGAGGAAATATTTGTGTCTTAGTGCTGATGCTGCATATTATCTTCATCTCAACAACATTGTTCCCCAGCTGTGTCCAGCACACCTCAGCCAGGAGGCGCTGCCAGCCACAATAACCAACATGGGGTAAGTGGCCTACCAAACATTTGAAATATCACAAAACAGCGAACTCAACGGTAAAGAGTTAGATAAAAGATAATGGATTGTATAGGAAAATAGTTTACATTTTGAATATTGCAAATCCTGTTAAGAATGTCATGGAAAGGAAAGAAATCAAGTGAGGTATTGCTGAAAGAAGCTCGCATGGGCTGCTCTCATAAATACAATCATGAGAAGACTAATGCAGTTTATTGGACATTGGAACTGACATAAAGGCCTTGAAAATCTTGCTCTCACTGATAAAAATAGATCTAGGTCTACTAATAATAATAGATGATAATGATAAAAAACAAAAGTAAAGACGCATAATGCTTCCAATAACAATACTTTCATATATATGGGTGGCGCAAAAATGTATGTATGTAGGAAGGAAGGGGGGGGAGGCTGCCTATGGCCTGCACTGGGATTATATAGACAGCACCTCTTAGATTCTGTGTAATGAGCAATTCGCCATTTAGATTCTGTGTAATGAGGTCGACAATTATTAAGTTGTCCGTTTGGTGTTGCCCAGATAGTGTTAACGTATTTTTTTACTCACCCTGTAATGAATTTACATTTTAACAGACTAAATTCTTGTACCCAACTCCACCTGATGGAAGTAAGTTACCCTGTGCTGACCCTTCAGGATGTCATTTGGTTGTGGCTATAACTCAAGATCCTTCTGGAAACTGGTAATTTGCAGAAACTGCCTTGTTATCCTCAATTTTTAAAATCTATGAATAGATGTTGCATGTGGGGGTGCAGTTCCTACCCTCTGAATTTTTATCTTGTTTCTCAGTTGTTATTTGTAATGTATCTTTGCTGCTCCTCGTCATATTGGTAACTTAACTACCTGTGGAGATCAGAATGTCATTTATCAATCCACAGTAAACGAATTATTTTGGAGAAAGTAAGAACAGACAGAAAAAAAAATTCATTTTTATTGCAACTGCAGTTAGGTTATTGAACACACAGTGCTGCAAATCAAGTGGAGAAGGAGAGAAAAGAGAGTGAATGTTTATGAAACGGAGGTGTTTCAGCATAAACCATTTATGTCTTTTTTGTTGTGAGGTACATGAGTGCACATAATCTTTGAAATGCCACTTCTATTGTAAACGAATGACCAAAACACATTTTCCCTGTGAGATGTATACAAATTATTCTTTTAAAGAGGACTATTTCAAAATTCTAAAAGTGATTTAATCCAGAATTTACATATTACGTTCTCATAGAAATGATTTCCAAAAGGAAATAGAGCAGAGGTATTGGTAAATTCGTTGGCCTTACCCTGTAAAGATGAACAGGTAAAATGGTAATGAATTAATGATGTGACAAATAAATAGATAGTACACTACTCTGTACTTTGATGATAGTTTCATCTGTGTGATAACTTAATGATAAATGGTATACTGATTTTTGCTCACAAGCATTGAATTTTTTTTGGTTAGCTTTTTTGCATTTGTAGAAACAAAACCTTTTAAGGACATTTTTTCTCTTTGGACCTATTGATACACTATTATGTTTCTTTAACTTCTTCAGCATCTGGCCACAATCTTTTTTATGCTTTTATTTAAGTTATGTTGCTGGATTGCCCTTGGGGAGTTAATGTAAGGATAGTCATAACTTGCCAGCCATTCCAGCTTGCCGGATCAAGATTTTGTTGTTGTTGCAAAATCGTTGTAAACGTTTAACACTCACATAGATATAGCTCTCATAATTGATTAATTTTAAAAAGTGAGCTTCTCCAACCCTTTCCACTAGGGCCAACCAATTTAGACAGTGTTAGGGGACTTTCTTCTATCCAAAAATCTGATGAACTCAATAAATTATCATCCTCAAGTGAGAATCAAACATCGTCTGTGATGGAGATGAAGAGTGTTACAATGACGTCATTTAATCTGGAGCAAGGTCTTTAACTGAGGTTTTCTGTCTCACAGTTCTGACCTGACGACTTCCAGGAAAGACGTGTATCTTTTCAACACCACAGTGACGTCATTTGGAGCGTGTCAGACAGAAGTGCTCATCATTCCAAATGATACTACTCCTACATGCTTTCAAGCAGGGTATGGAAATGATTCATCAAGGAAATTATAACAGTAAAATATAGTCTGCTGGCTAGGTGAAGACTCACGTAACTGTGAGAATATAAGATTGGCATATCAATTTTTTGTTGTTGTGCAAATGCATTGAAAATCTCAAGTGCAGAAAGGTGGAAACCATGTAATGAACTTTTTTATTGGAGAATTTTAAATTAATGAAGGTTTATGCTCGTAATAGAAAGATAATACATAATTATCTTTTCTTATCTACAAAACTGTGAAAAAAACCTGAGCGTATTTTACTTTTACCCTTCTGCTGCGGTGAAAATCTAAATGTTGACACAAAGAAGCTCAGGAGCACAGGTCCTGTTGGGTTTAAGGGACCAGGGTTAAAAGGGTATAAGTTTTGACCTCTATTTTGTATATCCTGCCTAGGTGTCTTGTTAATTGGATTTGATATGATCTTTCCATTTGATTTCTAAACAGGCTTGTGGACAAGCGATGTTTTAGTGTACCTCTCGTACCAGTCACAGGTAAATGCATGTTTGGGTTTAAATAGTTAAATTTGAGGTAGGTTCGTCATATACTCAAAATAATGATTGATAACGTTTAAGTACTTAAAGATAGGCATCTTTATAATTATGACGTTTGTCGTTTTATTTAAAGTTTTATATCAGGTGAGAGAAATTTGTTTGTTAATGTGTTGTAAGGGAAAAGATTGACAATATCTATCTTAAATTCATCCTGACGTTACTTCCTCCCTTTCAGTGTTATGATCTCAGAGTCATTGCTGGTCTGTGTTAGGAGTGTGACAATGATGGCACTGAATGAGTGCAAGATGGATTGTTTGCCAAGTCCAACAACTGCTCAATTGTAAACAGTACCAAAGATACCACAGCTGTGCTTATTGCACAGATAGGGAGTGGAGTGAAATGTTTATTCAGGCCAAAAGCCAAGGTCTTTTCAAATGTTCACTGAAGCACACCACTAGGCCAAGAGAACCTTCCTTTGTGGTGGGATTCTTACTTTAAATTCATCGTGATGACCTTTAACATTTGATTTTGAAAATATGGAGATGATTGGCTTATTGGTTTGAAAGGTTACTCCATTTGTATCGAGACGTGGAGGAATTCGGCGCTCGTCAACTTTTGGGCATGTAGAGTTATTAATATCTTCTGAAATGTTGTTCATTTATCTTGCATTAAGCACACAAAAAATACCCATCTATCTTGAATAGAAGTTGAGATATTTGGGATTGAAGGAGGTAGGGGTAGCATGATGTGAGAGGTAAAACTAGCCAAAAAATCCTTATCAAATTTGGTGACTTCCAAAGCCAGTTCCTAAATTCTTTGATTTTATTCCTTTGACAAGCACCTGCACAACACTGCATGACACTTCTTTTGAAATTACAGCACATTTGCTAAAACAATTAGTCTAAGCCCAATAGATTTTTTTGGCCGGAATTTCTGTGGGACTTTTGTGTCTTTACCCTATAATCGAAAATAATAATATGTTATTGCCTGGATGTGTAGCTATGACCAGATATCAGCTGTGTAGCCTACTGTTTTCAGTGGTGTTACAAGCTATGAAATGGACGGTTCTCATCCATCAGCCTGAAGGAATGCAGCTAGTGCTACATGTTAATATGCTTGTATTGAAAATGGGCTCGAAACATCTGCAGGTCAGCAGATATGTCAGTCTTCTCAGTGTGGCACACAACAAGGTGGGGGAGCCTGTCTCCCCACATGGACTCCCTCAAACTCCTTTGATTGTGTGTGTGCCGCTGGATTTCTGCCTCCAGACTGTCTTAAAGGTGAGAAAATGTGGGATACATCCAATAGTCTTCAGTACGATATTGTTATCCCCTTAACATTATAAAACACCAATTCATAAAACAGTGTTCACAAAGTCATTCTGTTTTACTGTTAGTTCTAACCTGGTTCTCATACACTTTATTCTCATTACTCACAATATCTTGCTGCAAAGTTATGATTTTGGTTCAACACAAACAGAGGCTTTTTATTTACAAAATAGCACCTGTGCAAGACAGACGCACAGGTGAAGTTAACACCAGGTACATAGTAACAGCTTCAATGTATCCAATAGCTTCAATAATAAATAATAAATAGCATTTGTAAAGCACAAAGTCTAACTCAACAGCAAACTCTACTTACCTTGCAATCTATATTATTATCCCAGCAGATCTGATAGCATTCTGAAACAATCTTAACTTCCTGGGAAGCAGACATTTTACAGGCACTTAAACACTAACGTACTGACAAGATCTTTTCGCTTTTTATGACAAGGTACTCATTTGCACATGAGTGAAGTGGGGAAAATTTTTGTAAAGTGCCTTTCCCAAAGACACAGTGTAGGGCCTGAACCAGGAATCTTTGAAATCCCAACCTCATGACTACAAGTCCAGTCACTTAACCGCTGGACCACCGATAACAGCTTTGATACTGTTGTTGTTGTTTGTTTTTTTAATATAAAGATGAGAAATGAAAGATTGCTTCTTTTGGGTAAAAAAAAAGACTTTTGTCATGCTCATAATCAACAGCGCCATCCATTATGTACTCATTTCTTCAATGTCCAGATCCTTGCTTTGCCCAGCCATGTTTCAATGGAGGAATCTGCCACCCCACTTCCAACACATCACACCAGTGTTTCTGTCCTCTTGGCTTTTCAGATCAGAACTGTTCTGTTCGTAAGTATCTAAAATTAACATTTTTATTTGTCTTTGTAGAAACTTGATTCACAGTGCTGTGAAATACATTTATGTTATAGCCTACAATATCACACTTTTTATTGTCGTTGTAAAAAATTGATTTGCTGTGCTGTAAAATTCATTTGTATCTTACAATGACACTCTACACTCAGAAAACTATGACCAGTTCATATACCCCAGCTCAGTAGCTTGCCTCCTCTTTGCGGAGCCCTGTTCGATCTTTTGCTGACTTGTGTTGATTAAGGATACAGAAGACTTCATGACAATATTGCTTGACGTTTTTGAGAGGCAAGTCTTTTAACTTTAATACTTTTCCTACTTAAAGTTGAAGCGAACGTTTGTCTTAAAACAAGTACCTGGTACATTTAACAAAAGCAAATAATATTTACACATATTATACTATATTATTATATTATTAAAATACCTTATACACCTTTGAAAAGTCACGTGGAATTTCAGTCATGGATATCCTATCTAGATTACTCAATTTTTTTTCCTCTTTTCCTCTTCTTACTCCTCTTCTTTTGTTGAATTCATTCCAGCTTTAGTGGTTTAAAAAGGCATATTGTGACAAAGTCATAGCCTTTGAATTTATCTACTCTTTTTAGCAAGAACTCAAAGCTGCACTTCACAGCTGAAGCACGTCGCGGTGAAACAGGGCAGTGTGTCAAAGCTGTTTTTAGGATTCTTATAATATGTGTCACAATGCGTCAAATGAAAAAGATACCCATCTATCTTGCATAGAAGTTGAGGTATTTACTATTGAAGGAGGTGGGGGTCGCCTGGATTCAGATGTAAAATTAGTGAGAAAATGGCCACCAAAGATTGGTGACTTCGAAAGCTTGAGAGTCCTTTGAAACTGTAAATTTACACTTTTTTGGGTGTCTTTTATCAATGTTTTCACTAAAATCCACACAAAAATGTGTTTTTAAGTGGATATGAAAGGTGTTAATTCAATAAAAATTGCCAAACAGGTGGGAAAATGCCTGTTTCTTTACTTTCATTATTTTGATGAGCACCTGATTTCACCACGATGCTTCACATGTGCTTTCATGCCATATTTTATTCTTTTCCTAAATCAAACCTGATGTGATGATGACTGGACTCACAGATGATCCTGATCCAGCTCCTACTAAGGTTTTTTTTTCTTTTCTGTTCTTTTTGTTTGTTTGTTTGGGTTTTTTTGTTTGTTTGTTTGCTGGGGTTTTTTGAAGAGGGAGGGGATGGGTATTTTTGTTGTTGCAGTTCACTTCTGGTTTATCTGTTTTGACTAGAACCTTTGTAGCCTACATGAAAGAAGTGTCCACAGTAAATTCCATTTTTTCTCTTCATCTCTGAGAAAATGTTTAGGTTCCTTGTAGATGACATTATTTTACACTAAATATAAGGAATGGCTTTAGTAGTGGCTTCCACTTCTGGTGTATATTAGTGTCGCCTTTGCTTTGAAATTGAAGCAAGGAGACTTGTTTTTCTTTTGACGAATGAGACTAATTATTAGCCCAAATAAATTACCGTGGTCTCTTTCTGTGCCGAAAAGATTTCTCAGTGCAGTCGTCATAGAAAAATGCCTAGTTCTTTCACACACTGCAGATTCCAGAGTGAGAAGGATCAAGTTCTCAGTCATTTCAGTCAAGGACAAAGAAAAATATTGTAAGCAGTGTATGTATGTACAATGCAAATGTTAAAGTTCTTTTGAGAATTAAAAGTTGATGACTGCAGTTCATGCAGTATCTTGTGTAAATCATTATCCAAAAGAGTAGGCTACTTTTCTGAATGGTCAGTAGCTGCCTGAAACTGAAAGAAATTTACAATCAAGTAGGATAGGAACCTCTTTCCTATTTGAGATATCAGCTGTTTAGGGGTTCAAACTGTGGTGGAATGCAAGTGAAGGTGAAAAGTTTGATTACTAATTTATATGTTTCTCAGCATCCATTAACATCATTCTTAACCAAGATTTAAATTCTTCGTCATATCGACAGGCCAACGGGTTACAACTCAGATGGCCACTGGTTCAGGGGGGGGGGGGGGGGGGGAAACAACAAAAAACAAAACCCAAGTTTTGAATGTTGAGCTATTTCTACTTATTGATTACTTATGAGTGAGGAAAGGTAGATCTATAATTCAGTTTTGAATATGAACTTTGCTTACTGATTTCTTTTCTTCTTTTGATTGGTGTAGCCGTTGCCCATGGACAAGATTTCACCTACCAACGGAGGTCAGATTTCATGTGTTGTTAATGTACCGTGCACTTTCCCCGTCTACACACAAGGCAAAAGTGATGGGTAAGTTTTTAGTATGCAAAAGGCCTGTTTGCATTTTATAGACGTGTAGCTGAATGTAGAAATAGTTTCATTTTTATTTTATAATTATATATTATACGGCCAGAGAATTCAACACAATTAATTCCTATACGGTGAATGGGATCTGTTTGATTTATATAGGCTACTTTGGAAAAATAACACTTTGATCTTTTATTTTGGGAGACAGATGAGTGACAGAAGAAAAACCAGGATAATGTGAGGTTTCTTGAGAGCATCAGAGTGGAGAAGTTGGTGGTGAACCACAATTGGCAGTGTTTTTTCATATCTGGAGCTTGAAGAAAACGACATTTAGTTTAGGTGTAAGGGTTCAAACGTACCAAAGTGAATAAAGTCTGGGGGAGAAAAAGTTTTTTTCTTATCTTTCAGGTCCCCACCTGTCGTTGGTGAAGGGCCCAAATCTCCTGACATCACTGTGACAATCCAGCAGCCGATCAAGGAAACGAGTACAGCAGCCCCAGGTCATGTGTTTAGTACACCCATCACAACAGAATCTCCCTCTCCAGGTCTCAAAGAGTTGTGTGTCAATATCTCTGATAGCACGTGAGTAAAATTTCACTGTAGGCCTATACAGTTGAAATAGTCAAAGATGGCCACAGATTGTTGAGGAGAAAAAGTGGTGGTTGAAGACAAGTGGACATCTTAATTAACATTGCCATTATGATGATAATATTTTAAAGATACAAAGAAGAACGTTAGAATTGGTTGTTTGTACAGGCGATTATCTTGGACAGGTGGTGGAAAGAACAAGTTGGACTCGTTATTTGTACAGCAAATTGTGTTTGGACTGGTTCTATTGGTAGGGTACTTTAATACACTACTACTGAAGCTTTTCATGACGTTTTCAACGTATATAACCCAAAGCAAAACTGTCTATGGTAATGAAACGCTGCCTATTATTACTCCAACTACCACTACTGCTGCTAATACATCATGTACCAAGACTATATGTATTGTTACAATAACAGCTACTACTGCTTCTGTTGCCACTAGTACAGTCTACTAAGCTACTACTAAATCTACTTCTACTATCATCACCACTGCTACTACACGTATTACTGCTGCTACTACTTCTACTACTTTAAACAAACCAACTAGATAGCTATTTATGTTTGTATGGGAGAGAGGGGTTTAGTATTGATTTATTTCTTTCAAAATTATTGTATTATTTCATGCCACAGAAGCAGCCAATCTACTGTGTGTTTCAACATTGATTTCAAGGATCAAGGTTTGCTTATTTTTGGTTTATATTATGTTATGTGTAATTCATGATCCCTAAAAAACTTTACAACTTTTTTCGTAAATATTTCCCTCCACACTGAAGTTTTCGTCTTCAAATTTGAACGCAAAATTTCTCATTGAAAAGGAATCTGACTGATGTTCATTTTAGATGATTCCAATAAATAATTCTTCAGTAAAATGCGCATTAAAAAACAACCCATTTTTTGCTTTTGTCCCCTTTTATTACACTACGCGCCAGTACGCATTATCACAAAATGTAACAATTGCGTCATATTGCTAGTTACAGCAATCTAACAGGCCAACGGACGTTTGCAGACATTGTCTTTTTTCAAGTTCCTTTTGTTTATCCAAATCATGGTTCAGTTTAATAAGGAGCAGAGAGCATTTTGCATTGAACATTACCTCTCCACAAAATCACCATCCCTGACATTTGGTAAGTTCCGCACAAGGTATGGGAAGAATGCTAAAGTGCCACCAAAGCCTTCTTTGAAGTTATAGTTTAAAAATTCCGTTAGTTTGGGTGTATAGAAAATGGAAACAAAAAATCTCCAGAAAAAGCGACTGCTACATGTCGAACGCGGACCATTCTAACTCCTCTAAACATCGTCAGGGTGCAGAACTCAGTCGCCGAATCTAATGAGACATCTGTCTGCAGACGATGCCTGCAGCTAGGACTTTCATACACATCGACAGTCCGTATTCCTAAAGTAAATCTTAACTTACGCCCATACCACATTCATGTAAGGCAAACGCTTCGCGAGACTGACCGGGGACAAAGGATGGCAATGTGTCGGTGGTTCCTCGACCGCCTTGGAGAACGCGAGAGTTTCTTAGAAAACATCAGGTTCAGTGACGAAGCGCATTTTCAACTTTCAGGATATGTAAACTCCTAAAATGCTGTCTATTGGGCATCCCACCCACCTCCCTACTGTCCCCAGAAGCCTCTCCATGCTGAAAGGTGTCCAGTGCGGTGGCTTTAAGCTCTCATGGTTTGGTGGGTCCTTTTTTTTTTTTTTTGAAGACAGAGACGGACATGTTGCAACTGTGAACACAGACCAATATGTCGAGGTGCTGAAGAAATTTTGGACGGATCTGGGGAGACACCGGCACTTGGATCGCCAAGAAAAGTGGTTCGTGCAAGATGAGGCCAATCCACACTTTTCTGTCAGATCAATGACATGGCTAGCTGACCACTTTGGAGATCATGTGATCAGTCGCAGAAGTGAACATATTTGAGATCCACATTCTCCTGACCTGAATCCTTTAGACTTTTTCTTTTGGAGCTATCTGAAGGACAGAATATTTCAAAACCAGTTTGAAAACATTGAAATTATGAAACAAGCAATCTGTGATGAAGTGAGAAACATTCCGCGAAAACCATGTTTGACCGTCATCGAGCATTTCAAACGACGTGTTAAAAATGTTTGGAGTCCAAAGGAGGACATGTAGAGCATTTGTTCTAGAAATTCCGGAACAAAAATGTTAGTTTTGTAACTCCCTAAGAGAAGTTTAATATTGTTTAATATCACAAGGTTGAAACAATTAAATGTTATAGAGAAAAAGAAGACAAAAATCCAATCAATCGTCTCATGACTTTCCTTGCGAGACTGTCTTTTTTTAAAAACTGGCGCATTTTGCGTTTATGGGTTTTTTTTCTTTATGCTTTTCCCGTTCTGAAAATAAAATAAGTTTTTTCTGTTTGAATTTTATGTCAAACTAATTCCTTTTAAATGAAGTTTATCTGTTCCAAATTTCATCTTTCTTTAACAACATTTGCGGGGAGATATTTAGAAAAAAAGTCGTAAAGTTGTTTGTTTGTTTTTATCACCCTGTACATAAAATGTTTCCAATCATTGGAGTTTTTATAGTCCTGACCCATTGGTTGCTTCTTCATTTATGTAAATGTTAGCTTTGTGATTGTCTTCCTCTGAAGCTTGTGACTTTACCATAGAACTTGTTCAGCTTTCTTTTTTTTTGTTTTTTGTTGGGTTTTATTTGGTCCCGTGTCCTGATTTTGGTGCCGATACTTGTAGGTGCCGTAAAAATGTATTGGCATTGTGCAAATTGTTATGTTTCAAGAAAAAAAGAAGAAAAACACAACAAGAAAAAGAGGAATTGTTTGTTCAGCTTTCTTGTTGAAGATGCATGATGTATAAATGTGGCGTACTATACTCCCATTAAAAAGTAACCATCTATCACGAATAGAAGTCGGGGTATTTGCGATGAAGGAGGCGCGAGTTGCCTGATTCAGAGGTAAAATTAGCGAGAAAATGGCTACCAAACCATGGTGACTTCCAAAGCTTGAGAGTTCTTGGAAACTGCATATTTACATTTTTGTGCCTTGAATTAATGCTTTTCAGTAAAATCCACAAATAAATATATTATTAACTCATTCGGAACGCTCGTCCGACGTCCGATAGCCTTGAGCTCCGTTGAAGACGCATCGGACGTATACATCCGATAGCATTTCACTACCGTTTTAGCCGTACAAATGAAGGTATTCCAGGGAGCAAACTTTTGTTTGACATTGCTAAGCCATATTTTATTTTGTATTTATTTACTCTTGACCATATCGCGTCGTTTTTTGGAATTTTCTGTGGCGATTTATGAAGTCAGTCGAGGCGACAAAGAACACGGATCTTGGAGGAGTACTATACAAAGAAGGACTATTCACGTCACTGGAACTTTTTCTTCCCAGTATTTGGACTGTAAATTGTGTTTTGATGTGTTTTTAGTTGCATTATATAGTTGTGTTTGTAACTTTATCTTGTTTGTTTCTTCATTTCTTCACTGTCGACTTAGTGGGGGAAATTTTTTTTGATCTCATACACCACGTCTGTAGGAGTCCTGGCTAGTTTAGGAATATGTCCAGGCAAACTGGGTTAGATCTAAAGAAAAGGCCAAATCTTGAATGTGTAGATAGTGAAAATAGACTTATAAGACATCAAAAGGGGGAAAAAATGGCAGACTTTCAAAGTTGACCCAAAATCGTGCGTCTGTGGGCGCAAAGCTGGTCAAAAATTTGCGTCCCGAATGAGTTAATGAACCTTAAAGGCGTTAAGTAAAAAAAAAATTTTTTTAATCGAAAAAATATTACATAAAGGGCGGTAAAATGCCAGTTTCTTCAATTTCATTATCTTGACAAGTGCCTGATTTCACCATGATGCCTTTATTTTCTTTCAATGGATAAGATAATACTTGATCTTTTAAACAGAAAATACGGTATTGTGAGTGTACATTTTAGGCAGGCTTCTCTTTGTAATCTTGACTTCATGGTTTCAGTTTTCAGAAATATTTCTTAAAGTTTTCCTTCTCTGTTTCTCTGCAGTCACTACAACACCAGCATCTTCCTCTTCAGCCTCAAACCCCACTACAGTAAGTGTAATAAAATCCCAAAAATGTTAAAAGTGATTTGAACTCTTAGGATAACGCAAAGTATGAAAATTCTGTTTCCCTCAAGTCCTGTATTGACAAAATGTGTATTATACACAGTGGCAGTTACAATAATAGCATGCTTTATAATATTGCAAGGAAGATTACATTGATTTTGTAGACTCTTATCCCTCAACCAGCCCTAAAGCTGCATTCACCAGAAAAAAACTTTTTCTGAAATTGGCTGACATCTTTCATGCGATTTATTGTTTTGTTTCAAAAGTTGTGCACTTTTTTTTCTCAATGTCTAGCTAAAACATACAAGGGGAGGGGGGGGCTACCATTATGTCCAACTCCGTAGTCAATATTCCATAGGCCCTTTGATTAAAAAAACAACAACTGTATCTCCCCTTTCACTCAGTGTCTTCTTATAATTTATTGGTCCCTCAGGAATCACTGTTCAGCTATTTGGCATGTGTGATTGGTTGTACTATGTTTTACATTATGTACTTATTTTTAGAAAAGCTAATCTTTTTTTAAAGTAAAGAACTCATTATGTTTGTGTAAATGAATCAATGAATGAATGAATGGTATGAATGTGTGGGCAAGTGTATGCACTTGTGTATATATGCATGAATGTATGCAAGCATTAGTACAAATGTGCATGGATAAATATCTATGGTCTTTCAGTCTTTCCCTCTGTGTTTTGATGCAGTTTACTGTCAGAAAACTGCAGTTCACTTCAGTGGTATTTTTAGAAAAATTAATATTAATGCCTTTGTTTAGGCTTTAGGCAATATTCATTTGATTACTACACTTTTCTTATATAAAACAAGTGATTTTGTAAACTACTATAATCATACTTTCTTCAGCCAAAGTTTGAAATACCTACACTGCCCTCTGGTAGCAAGTTGCCTTGTGCTGATGGTGTGCGGGGATGTCATATGTTAGTCTACATAAAGCCAAACATAACCACTGGTAACTGGTAAGGATAACTCCTTGAATTTATTCAGTAGAATCTCTCTGTGTTTAGGTTTTGTTTTTGGGTTTGTTTGTTGTCCTTTTATTTTTTTTTTGGGGGGGGGAGGGGTGTAAGAGTTTTATAGCATTTGCAACACAATCAGGTCACATAGTGCTGAAGAATAGAGGTGTTATTAGAGTGTAACATACAAACAAAAGAAGGAGGAGAGATTTGGACGATAGATGTTTTATAAGATAGGGAGAAAACAACACCAGAGCATTTGGAAACCACCCACCTTCTGGATTTGTCTAAAATGCAACAAACTAACATATGTACTCAGAAAGGTTTACAAAAGTTTTGTGCGCATTGCGTTTTGCTTCTTTTAAGTATAGTTTGACGGTTAATTACAAAAGGTTGGCATTGCACTTGATAGGCCTATTGTATAGATTCAAAGATTTTTTTAAAAGGATGTGCAAAGATCGTGTGTATATATTATGTGAGGCATTCTTGTGAAATGAAGTACTTCTCAGGATTTAGCCCTATGGACATAGATGCATCAAACTTGCAGGCTGAGTTTGTACAATTTATTAGTAAGAACGACCAAAGACATGTTAAACTTGGAGAAAATGGCATTAGTTAAAAGTGTACAAATTTGATATTTGTGTTGATTTTTGGCTGATATCTCTGTTCGTCAGCTTCCTCACAAACAATTTAAAAAACCATTGATTTTTTAATCTAAAGTGCTAGATGTATTACTCCAATAAGTATTTTCATGAAGCATCTAATAGGTTTCTTGATTTGATTATTATACATGTTTACTCTTAATACTCTGCCAAGTCATGTCACATTATATAAATGAATTATAACAGCTCATGTGGAATATAAAAATATCTCAATCAATGTCAAGACTTTAAGCAATTTAATTGTTGTCTGCAGACAATTCGTATAATATACATCCATTACTTATGCATGTTTTATTTGTCTCTAATAACAGTCCTTCTCCAATGGTCACCAACGGCTCTGCCTATGCTTTTAATTCATCCCAAGCAAATGGCTTGTGTGTGACTGACATAGTATTTGTGCCTGATCCCGCAGATCCCTACTTCTGTCTACAAGCAGGGTAAATTTCTTTTTGGTTGTCTTTGCATTAAAAATACCCTGGATGAATCTTTTTGGGGTTTCTTGAAGTCAGTTATGGGAATTGATTTTGAAACGAAGAGAGAAATACTAAAAGAACCTATGTGTTCCTTTTTGTTACTCTCAATAACTTGCTGCAAGATCTGCTGTTACATATTTCTGTATATTATTATGACAATAGTGTTTCAGGCCACTCAAGGATTAGGAGTTATTGATTGTGGCATTTTAAGCTAAATCGTCAGCTCTTTGAACAATACTCCTGATATAAAAGCATAGAGTCAAACAAGGGTAACTCGAATTCGTCAGGGATTGGAAATACTGTTAGAAATTTTTATTATTCGTCATGTCCGTGAAAGCCCCAAATACAAAGAAAATCGAGGGAGGTTAAAAAAAGAATATTAAAACAATTAACATGGTTAGCTCACTTGATGAACATGTTGGCGATGTGAAAGCAAGGTGATGAATAAAAGAGGAAAACAGAAGATATCACATGAGCACAGCTGACTCCCACATCTTTCCTTTCCTCTCATTCCATTGGCTTATAGAAAGTTACGCATCTTACAATCCGCACCGCGAGTGTCCCTCAGCATGATTGCACGTGTGGCGAGCCAGTCTTGCGGTGCGGTCAGCATCACTCCCCAACCCCCCTTCCCCATCCCCCCTTCTTCGAGCCTCTCGTGGTGAGACAAGGACCATGTTTTGGCTGTAACAATAACAAAGAAACACCTACCCGCTTCTAGAAAGGCTGTAAATCCGGGGTTTTTAGTTGAGAATATGAAGTGGATATGTTCGAGATTCGAGTGTCGCATGTTCGGGAACTCCGTGAATCAATACAAAGAAAACGTAGTGACTGAAATGGGACCAAGCATTATGTTCGAGATACGTGATTTTCGTGTTCGAGATTCGTGGACTTTACTGTAATTGCATAGCAGGCCTTCCCATACACCTCTGACAGGGCTACATGAACCTAAGACACAGTGTGGTTTTAATGTGTTTATACCAGCACTAGAATAGTTTGGCTTGAAAGTTTTTAAACGGGACAACTTTTACTTTAGGAACATTTTATGAGGGAAATTCTTGGGCTGTCTCTCAGTTTCGACATTATGATAGAAAGAAAACAACCAGCTCCTACTGCAATTGTGCCCTTTGGGAAAATCCCCACTTTCATGTTCAAGATCACCTTTTTTTCTTACCTATTCCTAATATCAAAATTATCTTTTCCAGCTGGATGAAATTGTTGTAGTATACACAATAAAGTATTCTATTTAATTATAGTCCTTTTGTTTATATTGCAATTGGTTTTGTTTTGCTACAGAAGGAAAGTACAGTGTGGGTAAAAAGAAAGAGAATGATGGGAATGCTGCAGATTAAAGTAAAACTGCTTTTGCTTTTTTTGTGTGGTTTTTTTTTCAGATTTGGAGAGACTAGATGTTATTCCGTTCCACTTGTTGGTCAGACAGGTAAGGAAAGTTGAGTTTTGACTTTGTCTTTCGATGTTTTGCCAATAATCATAAGTCAAAGAACAGCTCAGGTAGTTTCTTGTTGGACTATGCGGTAAGTGCTATCCGATTTGAATGCCCATTAATGTGTTCTTAAACATAATGATCATGAGAGGAGTTTTATATATATATATATATATATATATATATATATATATATATATATATATATATATATATATATATATATATATATTATGTTACCAAGGAGTTTAAGCAAATTGCACTTGGTCTCTGTATTATGAACTGGAATCTGCCCTCTTCATTTCATTACGTACTGTAAAAGCTGTAAAGGGGAAAAAACTCAATGTGACAATTGAGTGTCCCTAAGAATGAATGCGTCGTTGGACTCTCTTAAACTCTAAATAAATATATATTTATATATATATATATACTATGTGCCATTCTGATTTCAGGCCCAGCTCTATGTGCAGCTGTTTCAGCACTTGACTGCGGCCTCTACGGTTCTTGTTTGGCCCAACCACAGAATAATGCCACGAAATGTGTGTGCCAGCCTGGCTATAATCCCCCTACGTGTGAGCCAGGTATAACAACAGCTATCCACCTCTTATACTGTTAACTTTTGCTTAAGCTTTTGACATTATCTTGCTTGCTTATTTTTTTTTCTTTTCTTGCTTGAGCTATGCATTTTGTTTTTATGAGTAAACAAGAAAAACCCCAGACCATAATAATCTTCAGGATTTTATTTTGTTGAGTTTTTCTGAAAGTTAATTTGTTTATAATCGTTTCAGGAAAAGTGCCCTCTACAACAGAAGACATTCTCACTGTTACTGAGATATATTATGTTTGCTGCAACAGCTTTACCTACAACAGCTTTGCCCACTACATCAGTGTTACCCACTACAACAACATTGCCAACTACAATAACAACTAGGAAAATCTAATTTATATTATAATGATAATGTTGATAGTATTAATAATCATTTAGAAAAAATAAAATGATTTCCATAAGTTTGTTTTCTCAGCTAGCTATGTGAAGCTGCTCTGCCCAATTATAAATTCACTATCAAATTCATTACTAAAGTTTTATTGTAAGAAAAGTTCTCAGATTATTTATCATGTGTGTACACGTTTTTTTTAAACAGATTTGAAAATATAGAAATAGTCTTTCCTTGTGAAAGTGTGTTCAGCACAATTTAAAGCATGTTGCTGATTTTTTTTTAAATTCATTGCTGTAGGCTGTCAACATTTAAGAAAAAATATATAAATAGTAAATACCAGTGCGGTGTAAAATGTGCGTAAAACTCTATTTGTGATAGACCCGTTCATGAAACCTTACCTAGATCTATACAACAAGTATATCAACTCAGGAAAACAGGTTGTACAAATTATAAAATGATTCAAAATAAAAGTTTTAGAACTATATATATAAAACAGAGAAAACTTTTGACCAAGATCCGAAAATGTCAAATATGTTAATGTGATTATTATTCTTTGTATGGGATCAGTCAAAGGTTTCTGTTGTTATTAAGTCTAATTAAGAATACGTTTTGTTATAATTGCTACATTTTCTGAAAAAGAAAAAAGCTCCAGATGCTCATTTTTATCTATTACACCGATGCTTACTCCCTCAAGCCTTTGGAGTAAGGTACCAATTATGGATAAATGCTCTCTAAATTTGCTTGGAGTTGAATGCGGTGACCTTTTTTCTTAGACTTCTGAGAAGTGTCATATTTACCAAAAGCAATACAATTGATTGCTTAACTATGGAAAGTTTGTGCTGTTACTAGTGTTAGTTTGACAATCTGAGCATGGGCAATTATCACTTACAAAGGCAAGAGAAAACATATTTCTCAACGCAGTGGTCAGATTTTGGATCTCTTTATAAAGTGCTACCTTTGTATAACTTTTTCTTGATGATCAAAAACTGATATTTTTTCCAGAAAGGGTAAAACATCTAATCTCAAATGTTTGGGTGTAGAGGCATTGCATCTGGACTGTTCACAGTTCTGTGTCAAATTTGTACTTATAACCTACTGTTTCTCAGATCTGTTGTCAGATCGTTTTCTAGTAAAAACAATATTCTAATCACTTTGCAGCTTTATATTCTGTAAAAATTGGTTCGATGGGGTTATAACAGAGGAAGTTTTGTCCCATTTTTTTTCCTTTGGTGGGTTTATAGTTATCAGCGTTTTGTAACTTGTGAAAACATGACTGCTCCTATTATCATGATTATTGACTTACTTTTAAGAGTCCTTATGAAACGAAGTCAAAGAGATAATAAAATAGTTTGCAACTCAAAATTTCAAAAAAAAATTTTAACCTGGGTGGTTTTTTTTTCTTCTTTTTTTTAAATATTCAAGTCTGACTCAATGACATAATGTCTATAATCGTATATTCTCAAATAATATCAGACATAATATCAAATTCTTTCAAGAAACAACAATAACATCCATTAGTAGTATTAGCAGTAGGCCTACAGGTTGGACCCCTATAACATATTGTACTTCTGAAAATTCCTGTGTCTCTGTTTTAAATTTGACATTATAAGCTTTGCCAACTTCTACAACTGCTGTTCCCACAGCAACAGCTTTGTCCACAACAACAGCCGTACCAACTACAACTGCAGCTGTTTCAACCACAACAGCTATACACACAACTACAACAACTTCACCCACTACAACAGGTGTGCCTACAACAGCTTTGCTCACTACAACAGATGTGCCCACTACAACAGATGTACCCACTACAACAACTTTAGCCACTACAACAACTTTATTTACTACAACAACTTTATTTACTACAACAAATGTGCCCACTACAACAACTTTACCCACTACAACAGATGTACAAACCACAACAATGTTACCCACTACAACAGATGTGCCCACTACAACAACTTTACCCACTACAACAGATGTGCCCACTACAACAACTTTACCCACTACAACAGATGTGCCCACTACAACAACTTTGCCCACTTCAACAAATGTGCCCACTACAACAACTTTACCAACTACTTTACCCACTACAACAAATTTACCCACTACCACAAATGTGCCCACTACAACAAATTTACCCACTACCACAGATGTGCCCACTACAACAACTTTACCCACTACCACAAATGTGCCCACTACAACAAATTTACCCACTACCACAGATGTGCCCACTACAACAACATTACCCACTACCACAAATGTGCCCACTACAACAAATTTACCCACTACCACAGATGTGCCCACTACAACAACTTTACCCACTACAACAACTTTACTAACTACAACAACTTTACCAACTACAACAGATGTGCTCACTACAACAACTTTACCAACTACAACAGATGTGCCCACCACAACAGATGTGCCCACATCAACAACTTTACCCACTACAACGACTTTACCCACTACCACAAATGTGCCCACTACAACAACTTTACCCACTACAACAGATGTACCCACTACAACAGATGTACAAACCACAACAATGTTACCCACTACAACAGATGTACCCACTACAACAACTTTACCCACTACAACAGATGTTCCCACTACAACAGAAGTGCCCACTACAACAACTTTACCAACTACAACAGATATGCCCACTACAACAGATGTACCCACTACAACAACTTTGTCCACTACAACAGAAGTGCCCACTACAACAACTTTACCCACTACAACAGAAGTGCCCACTACAACAACTTTACCAACTACAACAGATATGCCCACTACAACAGATGTACCCACTACAACAACTTTACCCACTACAACAGAAGTGCCCACTACAACTTTACCAACTACAACAGATTTGCCCACCACAACAACTTTACCCACTACAACAACTTTACCCACTACAACAGATGTGCTCACTACAACAACTTTACCAACTACAACAAATGTGCCCACCACAACAGATGTGCCCACATCAACAACTTTACCCACTACAACAACTTTACCAACTACAACAACTTTACCAACTACAACAGATGTGCTCACGACAACAACTTTACCCACTACAACAGATGTGCCCACGACAACAACTTTACCCACTACAACAGATGTGCCCACTACAACAGATGTGCCCACTACAACTACTTTACCAACTACAACAACTTTACCAACTACAACAGAAGTGCCCACAACAACAACTTTACCAACTACAACAGATGTGCCCACGACAACAACTTTACTCACTACATCAACTTTGCCCACTACAACAGAAGTGCCCACAACAACAACTTTACCAACTACAACAGATGTGCCCACGACAACAACTTTACCCAATACAACAACTTTACCCACTACAACAGATGTGCCCACTACAACCGATGTGCCCACTACAACAGATTTACCCACGACAACAGATGTGCCCAATACAAGAGATTTATCCACTACAACAACTTTACCCGCTACAACAACCAATGTGCCCACAACAATAACTTTGCCCACTACAACAGATGTGCCCACTACAACAACGTTAACCACAACAACAGATTTGCCCACTACAACAACGTTAACCACAACAACAGATGTGCCCACTACAACAGAACAACTCTCTACAACAGCAGTTTTACCCACCACGACAACTTTTCCCACAACAACAGATTTACCCGCTACAACAGATGTGCCCTCTACAACAACGTCAACAACAACAACAGATGTGCCCACTACAATAGATGTGTCCACAACAACAACTGTACCAGCTACAACGACAGATGTGCCCACTACAGCAACTTTACCGACAACAACAGATGTGCCCACAACAACAGCTTTGCCGTCTACAACAGATGAACCCACTCCAACAGCAAACTCCGCACTTACTACAACAATGTTGTCCTCTACAAATTCATTCACTAGCACGTCAAAAAGTTTTCCCTCTACAAGCCACACAGTCAGTGGATTAACCATCACAGTTGACTCTAGCACTGGAATTGCAAACGGTAGGCTTGTTTGGATGGGTTTTTTGGTAGTTTAATGTAAGTAAATCATTCAGATCTTTCAGTAGGTCTACTTATGTGGTATTAACGTGAAATTGAACGTTGGAGTCTTTTACCATGCATTATATATAATTTCAACCGTAAATATTTCAGTGAAGCCATCTATTATTAAGAACATTTCCAGAGTTTGAGGATAATCCAAGATAGAGCCAAAGGGGCAAAGTTAGCTGTGTGTACTAGTGCTAATGGCCATTTCCATTTTTGAATGTTTAAAAAGGTCTTGTTTTAATCCGACTCGTAAAGTTTGAATGCTACTTTTTATTACTGTGCCTCTGTGCAAAGAACCAAAGTAATTTGTCTCTTAAATTTACAGCTTTCCATTCAAAAGCATCTCGTGCTCCCTTTAGACAGCATCAAAACTAAATAATTCACGCACATCAAAACATAATATTTTCTTTTCAATGAAATGTTAGAGGAAGGGAAAGGTTAGTGAAACATGGAAGAAGACTTTATTAAAGGCAAGATGCAAAGCAAAAGAATCCCCAGTACTCAGTGTTGGTTAATGTTCTTTGCTCAGAGCCAAGTATCTTGTTAAGTAACTGACAAGAACAATAACATTGTATTTGCATTACACACTTTGCTCTGCGGTTTAAAAAACTGCTTTAAAAAAAAGCCAAAAACATGGAAGCTTGAACATACAAATAGGGCCTATGTATTTATACATGCATCTTTATTGACAAGATGTTGTAAGTGTCTTATTTGGACATATTTATACTTTGGAGTGTTCTGTTTATTAATTTCAGATTCACATGTTGTAAGTTGTTGGTAAGGAGATTTTACTTTCATATTTTCTTATTTTGGCTTATTAATTTGGCTACCTATGAAGCATATAATTAAAGCTGAATGTGTTTGACTTTGAGAAGCTTATTGGTGAGGCTTTCAGTTTGCTTGTTCTGTTCTCCATAAATAGCAAAATCTACTTTTAAGCTTCAATTTCCTATTTCTATGTGCTATTTGTGTGTGTATTATTTTTTGGACCTTTTACTATCTCAGTCTTATTGCTGAACGCTGCAGTTAGATCTGAGAAAAAGTTCTAAATATAATACGTTCTACAGTCTTCAAGTGCCTATCGTTTTTGCTTGGCTTTTTTGCATTACACTTATTCCATTCTGCACATGCTTGTGTCTTTTTACTGTTGAGTTTTATCTGTTCTATGGGGACAACGTTTGAATTTTTGGTCTTCTTTTTGGATGGATTTGGAGGGGTGAGGGTTAAGTTTCACTTTCAAAAATATTTATATAACCTTATTTATTTATTAGACGAAAGTTCCAAGACTTGCACTACAGACCAAAGACATATTGTCGGAATGGTGTGTTCCAGATGATTATCATTTGTGTCTGGACGCGGTGGAATCAGGCGGTGGTCAATTTTTGGAAATACGGAGTTATTGGTAAAGTCTATTCAGTTGCCTTGCTTTTGGTGAAGAAAAAAAATACCAATCAATTTTTAAAACAAGTCGAGATAGCTGCGGTGAAGGAGGTTGGGGTCACCTAGTGTCCCATGTAAAATTACTAACAAAATAGTCAACAAAGCTTGAGTGTCCTAGGAAACTGCAACTTTACATTTTGTTAGGTTTTTTATATATTCATGGCTGGTGCCTCTATAAATAAATCATTGATGGTTAGGTTTTTTGTCCAGGTTTTTCAGTAAAATCTCACTCAGAAATGTGTTTTTAAATGGACTTGAAAGGTGTTGAACACAAAAAAATGAAAATTCATTAAGAATTACTCAACGGGCGGGAAAACGTCAGTTTCTCTGATTTCATTATTTTGACAAGCGCCTTATTTCACCACGATCCCACACATTTTTTTATGAAAGTTGTTACAAAAGCTTGTGGACCTATCTATGCTAAATATGTCTCTTATGGACCTAACGTATCAGATCTTGTATTTCACAATGTCAACTCATGTATAGCAGCATATCAATTCATTTTAGGACTTAAATGTGTATAGTCAAAATTAGGAAAACAATATTTTGGAGTTACAGACTCAACAAGCACTTGATCAAAATGAAAGTATTGTTGAACCTGTCCAAAATAATCTACCATTGTCGAAGAGAAAAATGGTCATCTTAGACATGTGATCCTCTTGGGCAGTGTCATGATAATTAATAGAAAGCTTGCAAGGATAAGTGGGAAGTTGTCGTTTGTACAAGCTGTCTTTGACAGGTGATCATAACAGTAGGTTCAACTGTATTGAGTAAACATAATGTATTAAGACTCATATTATTGGGATTTTTGTCTTTTAGTGTCTCGACTTGGACAGTGCTATGACAGAGACCTTTGGGTAAGTACCAATTCAGTCTCCAGCGATTTTTCAACTTCATATATAATTATTTTGACAGGTATGAACATACTTCAAGCACATGACACTAGTAAAAATTTTAACTATGAACTTGACTTGTCATTTCAACAGCTCAATTGTGAGTCAATATGTTTTTACTGAAAGTTAAAAATAAAGTACAATTCTAGTTCATGAATTTTAAGTAGATGTGACAAGCATATATCACGACTTATGCCAATAAATTGTGTTGACTTACACCCCTGTGCTTTACTCACAACAACGTTGCTTTCTACAACAGGTCACCTCAGAAATGTTCAGAGAATTTTTGCTTTTCTGAACGTTTTCAAACATCTGAGTTTGATTTTGAAACACAGCAGGCTACTCATCTTGCAACATATGTACGGCAGGATTTTTTATTGTTAAGTTGCAACTAAAGTCTGCCTATGCACTACAGTACATGATATTGTTAATTGAATTTTCTACGAGGAGATTTTGTTCTGAGAATACTGCACTCCCCTTATTAAGTTGAGTTGTACCGGTATAGTAGTTTACAGCAAGTCGGAGTTGTAACGACCATAATTTTACACTACACAAGGCACAGATTAGAACAATTGAAGCACTGAATAGAAATAGGAGTAGGTCCTACCGATACGGCCTCCGGTAGCTGGCTTAACTCTTTTTCAGTATGCTCATATTTTGATCCGATTGGGTTGGGGGGGGGGTTGACTTAAAGACTTTAACTCTGATAGGTACATGTATATTCCCTCAATGAGATCAAATTTGTCCATTCTCACAACCTTCAAAAAGATATGTAGTAGAAGAGTTTATCCTAAAGGCATTTTTGTGCTGATTTTTGTGTGTCTTGTAGCGTAAAGCCTTCAGAGAGGGCAAAGTGCGCTGCACCTGTAGAGATCTTGTGACGGGTCAAGTGAAGACAGTGGTGAGACCACGTGTGCCCAGTGAGAGACTGTGGAAGAGTGCTGGAATTGGTGCCGGAACCTCAACCTCTGCCCTGCTTCTGGGGGTGCTTCTCTATCAGATTATCACAAGGTGTAAAAACAGGTGAGATCTTTTGACTGACGCTTACAGTTACATTTAAATGGTATCAGGTGGATGGTCTTATAGTCAGGTATTTTGAGTTGGACTCTAGCTAAGCTGGTTTTGATGTTGTGTAGTGTAATGAAAAAAATTCTCAAGAGGATATTTCCTCCCTCTACCCACTAGTCCCTGTTATTTAGCGTGTATAGATTCATGCCTGCGTAATTCTTTCTTGCTTTATACCCCATTCTATTCTAATCCTTTGGAAGGAAGGCTGCTTTGAAACTGCCTATGTGGACCAACGAGAGATGTGTGGGATACTACATCCTGAAAGAAAGGAAGAGAAACTCTCTCTATATATATACATGTTTTTAATAGTAGAGGGTTTTACGGCGCTCGCAACTGCATAAGGTCATAAGAGTGCCCTCTATACAAATATACATCGCTAGCCGCATGATTCGACCGCCTAAGTGACAAAATGTTTGAAAATCACTTTTTGATCCCTTTATGTAAAGATGTAAAAATCCCGAGTTTGAAAGATTACTGCAAAGTGTTTTATTTTCAATCCTTCAGTAACTCAATCGGCCATATCACACCGGTCCCCAATTTCCACGTGATTCAACCGCCCAAGTGCCAGTTTCGCAGCCCGGTGGCGAATAGGCGGTTGAATCACGCAAATTCAGCGGCTTGTTCAGGAGTTCACCTGCCGTGTAGGTGGCGCGACCAACACGACTGAGGCCTTTGTCAAAAACAGACAAAAGGTAACTTCAAAACAAAGTGTTGCCTTTGCTAACTTCGACTCAGATTGAACCCTGTCGATAGCCAGAAGATTTTGTCAAGGCGGTTTGCGTAATCTATCACTAGGTTTAGTAGTGTGGTTGAGAAAGGGCAAGATGGCATCAGAGGATAATAATTATGTTGATACTGACTAGACCAAGTCGGTAAATTGTGGCAAAAGCTACTGACGAATGATTTTTTTAAAAGTCTATGATCGACACTAAGGGGCGCTTATTTCACATTCGGTACAACTTTTGGAAAATATTTTTATCACGACTTTTTGCGTTTCTTAATTTACTTTAAGTATGCGCCCCTTGCAGTGTCTGTCATGTACCATTCTTGAATCATTGATTAGTTCATCAGTGCCGGGAAGACGATACTTAATTTGTCACTCAAAAAAAAAAAAAAAGAAAGCAGCTCATAAACAAATTTACCCCGAAAATTCTCTCTTCAACAAACCTTCAACTTCAACTCTCCAGCTCTACACTTCAATTTTAAACAAATCTCATACATTCTACTTGTGTGCAAAACAATGAGTTTGTGTACAAGATTCCTCACACAATGGTTATTCATGGCTGTTGCAAAGACAGTTTACATGACTTGGAGATGGGAGCTCTACGATTGTCAAAATACCAGAGAGCAGAAGAGGACAAGCAATTTTGTTATACGATAAAGAATTCTTCGACAAACTTGATGAAACTGCTTTCCCATTACTACAGACAGAATACAGGCAAAATCTATCTTGACTAACACTTTCAAAGTCTGAGAAGCCTTTATAGAGAGTACCAAAGAAAACAGAAAGAGTCACCTGACATTGTCCCAGATGACTTTCGAAAGGTCTTCAAAAAGAGCAACCTGTTGTTGTATGTATGTTGAAAGGATCAAATTGAATTATGCAGGGTAGGAGAGAGAATCTAACAGGAAGCTTGCACAAAACCCAGAGGATGGGACCAGATTATGTCGAACGTGCGTGGACTTGGAAGCGGATTTGTCAGTATGGCGTTGAATGCAGTATATACTTATAATAGACATAGATACCAGTCTTCAAATGCGATGCTATGGAGAAGAAAAGGTAATCAGAAGTGATATAAAATGTTTTGCCAGCGAAAGGAACTCAAACTGAAATTCATTCAGAACGTGTTCTTTTTTTTAAATTATTTTGGTAAAGATGTAACAAGCAAAGATCAGGTTTACTGACAGAGTAGGCCTAGCATGTTCAAAGGTGTTCAAATCTTGAAGATGATCTCAGCTGTTGGCACCCCCAGGAGATGACAGAAAAGAACATTGCCAGTGTTGACGCTTTGATTCATGAGAACAGGCAACTAAAAATGAGTGTTTTCCCAAAGACATGTTTATAGAAAAGTGCAGGATGTGCTTGTATACTGTAAAGTTTTGGCTCTCTGAGTGTCAAAACAACTGATAAGGAGATCACAAAGTGCAACGCATGGAGGCTTGTCTCAGGCATTTCTCGAACTGTACAGTGATGGCACTGATTGCCAAATGGGACCTGATGGGGATGATATGGGACTGTTGGTGATGTCACTTAACCAGGTGGGGATTTTCTTGACATTTTGATAACAGAAGACGAAACATGAGTGCGTCACACACTCCTGGAGACGAAGATGGATTATCTGCCCTGGAAACAACTCTCATCATAGACACCCAAAAAGTTTTAGGGTTGAATAATCTTCAAGGAAATTCATTGCCACCATCTTCTGGAATGCAAAGAGTGTTTTGTTTTTGAAAATTCTACAACCTTGCCAAACTTTTAATACAACTAGGTATTGTGAAACACCGAGCAAATTAAAAGAAGCCTTTCTTTGAAAAAGATCTGGCAGCCTGAGGGAGGGCATCATTGTGCAGCATGAAATTGCCACACCGCATAAAGCAAAACTGACAAAGGAGATACAATTAGGAGGTTTTACTACATCCCCCACGTTTTCTGTCAGGACAAAGCTTCAGAGAGGAAAAAGATCTCATTGAAAATGTGAAAAGTGGTTACAATCTCTTGATGAAGGATTTTTTAAAATTTTAAGTAAGAGTTTTACGGCACTTGCAACACAATAAGTCATATATAAGTGCCGAAGATTAGAGGCGTTACAAGAGTGTAACAAACACAAAAAAGAAGGAGGAGAGAATAGGACTAGAGATGTTTGATGGGAAAGAAGGAGAAAACCACATTAAAGCACCCTAACCACCCAGGATGAACGTTTCTTGAGGGAGGGTGTAATATTTGTATATATACACAGTCGAACCTGCCTCAACTGAAACCTGTGTAAGACGGAAACCTGTCAGAATGGAATATCTCCGCTCCCCCTTTGATAAATTCTCTATAATTACCTATTTGAAACAGAAACTATGTCCAACACGAAAACGGAAAGAGAAATTCCTCCCCTTCAGACGATTTTTATCTAAAAGGAAAATGCTTTGTCCACTCAGCCCTGATTTGAAACAGAACTATCAAGTTTGGTTCCCATGCTGTTGGTGGCCATGCTGCCAGACGAGGAAAGGGAGTAGGGGTGCAGTTTGAGGATAGATGTTACCGTATCCATGTGAGTCCCTTGCGGTGTAGATGGTCAGAGTGGTGTGGGTATGAAAGCTGAGAAAAGAGTTCCTCGAATCGTTGTTACAAGCACGGGAGAGGTGGGATTGGTTGTCTGTGGTTATTAGTAATAATACACCAATGGGTGGGGCTGAGGATGGAAGCAAAGGATTTGTTAAATTGTTTCTGTTAGTCTGAAGTTTTGACCTTTGCTTGCTGTGGTTATTAGTAATAATACACCAATGGGTGGGGCTGAGGATGGAAGCAAAGGATTTGTTAAATTGTTTCTGTTAGTCTGAAGTTTTGACCTTTGCTTGCTGTGGTTATTAGTAATAATACACCAATGGGTGGGGCTGAGGATGGAAGCAAAGGATTTGTTAAATTGTTTCTGTTAGTCTGAAGTTTTGACCTTTGCTTGCTGTGGTTATTAGTAATAATACACCAATGGGTGGGGCTGAGGATGGAAGCAAAGGATTTCTTAAATTTTTTCATCTCCCTCTAAATTCCCTTGTTTAAGACAGAATTTCTTTCTTGCTGCCTTGCTATTCCGTCTTACACAGGTATGACTGTATATGTCCGCTTTTAAGCACAAGGGGGCTATCCCGAAAAATGCTGTTTTGAGAAAATCGAAGGTAAAGTTTTAGGTCACTTGTTTAGTTTCTTTAAAAGACAAGGACAGTTTTCTCTATAACCAAACAAATATACACACCAATGAAACCAAACTTCTCCTATATGTAGGGCAATGCCCACTTTTGGTGTACGTCAAGATTTTGGAAACCCCCGAAATCTGGGTTAGCCTGCTTGTCCTTAAAAGCGACCATTATATATGTATATATATATATATATATATATATATATATATATATATATATATATATATATATATATATATATATATATATATAATATATATATATATATATATTTTATATATATATATATATATATATATATATATATTATGAACATCCGTGTTTCATTGTGCAGTTCTAGCAAAATACTTCAATCTTCATGAGGGTTATATTGAGAAATAGGTAAATAGCATCAGTATTTTGTGCTGAAATTTCATAGAGATTATAAAATTTCCAAGTTATGACCATGTTCACCATAATTTCAGGACAGCCCTTGTTTTTTTTTACATATGTAATACAACGGCCAACTAGGCTTACCGCTCTAGTCAGGTTTGGCTTGAGTAAACAAGCTGATAGTAAACTACAATAACTCCCACATCCTCACATTCCATGATGATTATAACACACAACATAGCTGCAGCCCTGGATTTTGACCACTAGGTCGAGCAACTAAAAAATTGGGACGGGGGAGGGGGGAGTTCCCAACTTTACTTTTACTGATAACCCTTTTTGTCCAACGTAGTAAATCTCTATGAAGTTTTGGGTTTGAATTTTCTACACTTCTGGCTTCATTGTCAAGATGATTTATTTATGTATGTATGTCAATGTTACAAAAGGTTTCCTATGTCTAAACTGAAGTTAAATTATATCCCGCTTACTTGCAGAAATAAAAGGGCAAAAGCTAGACAAGCTCATGATTACCTTTTTCAAGACCAGAAAGATGGTCAACAGCGTCCACTTCCTATGGAAAAAGATGGCAAGCCGCGCGAAAGTTCTCCCTGGAAAGTTCTCAGCTGCTTCCACTGTGGAGATGTCATGCTACATGTGAAAGACCCAAAATGAGTTGTCTCATAATGACGTCTTTGACTGATCCTCATACAGCGAGGATTAAACAGATTAAATATTCGTTGGACTTCTCTTTGAATTGAATGCCTCTATGTTTGTTACTTACCTAATTGTAGTCTTAAGAGACTTTTCATTCCATTTTCAAAATATCCAACAGAAAAGAAGGAAATGTTCATTTGTAGTTAGTTTCCCCGGTTCAGTGAATTAAAACTTTGAGACTTGATTTTTTCAGTTTTGAGTTGTTTTCATGGTGTTATTGACACTTGTGTTTACCATCTGAGTTATTAAAGGATACAACCATCATCAGTCTGATCACAAGTGAGCATTGCAAGTATTTCCCAAATTCAGAAGCAAGAGGCTTAGTAGAGACAAAGTGACTGTGCAATGTGCTCTCATGAACAATACCAATGAGATGAGTTTTTATTCTGACCTAATCTGGCTTGTTACTGGACTTTTTTAATGCAATATTATACCACCCTCTCTGATTATACTTATTAGTTGGTTACTAGTCCCTAAATATCTATGGTGAGAAAGACCTGAGGGAAAAGTCATAAGTTCCTTCCTGTTGTTCTTGGAGAAACCAGAAACGTTTGCCTTGCATGATAAACACTGTGACCCTAGGCCAACTGACCTTTGCTTGCAGAAAGCAACACGATTAATTTTTCTTCTACATGTAATTGTAAAGGCATCTGACCTCAGTCAAACAGTGGGTTATATGTGTATACAGTGGAATCCTGTTATAACGAGAGGTAGAGGACTGGTGCGAAATATCCATTATAGCAGGATTCTCGTTATAAGGGATTCAGTATTAAATTCAAGGTGAATAATAAAGTAGGACTGATCCATGAGTTTGGTGTTCTGTTTATTTCCTTTTGTTTACTCCCCTGATAATGATTTTATTGATCATGACTTCTAGGTCTTGCCTGATCAAAAATCGAATCAGGTTTCTTTTTTCTAGCGCTAGCGATGTTGACAGCTGGGCGTTGATGATCAGAAAGAAAGGGCTCTGGGCTAACTCGCGTGCTGTGTTGTCCCCCACTCCACCACACCCTGTGGTGCGTTCCGTCTGGGTACACACCACACCCTGCCTATGTCACACATTCGCTCCATCCATCACAGCATTGTGACTCTCCATCCCCTCATCGGAGAAGTGAGAGGCATGGGATTGGTAGGCCTAGGCCTAGATAATCTAGACTAGGCCGGCCTATCACACGATGCGTTCTGCTTGTCTGCGCATGCCACACCCTCCCCACTCATTCGCTCCAGCCTTCATTGTTGGCACACATGGGCTCTCCCATTTCTTAGTTCCGCTAGATCACCAACAAGTTTCTCAACTGGCGAGGTTTTACATCGTAATTATGTATAACCGGCCTATGCGCTGTACACAGCGGCAGCAATATTCTGCTATAACCGACTTGCGTGTTTGTCTGATTGCGCTATAGCAGTATTTTATTTACAAAGAAAAAGAAGGGAAAAAGTGGGGAATAGTGTCTTTATAACAGACTTCTCGTTATTTCAGGACTCGATATAGGTGGACTCCACTGTATTAGTTTAGTTTAGTAAGAGTTTTACGGCGCTCGCATCTGCATAAGGTTATGAGCGTGTGGAACACTAGTTGGTTGCGTTCACTACAATTCATAGCAGGGCTTGGTATGCTTTACTTTACTTTACTTTTCCGATCCAGCGGCCATCTGGGTTCGAGCCCTTCGGCCTGTCGATATGGCAACGGATTTACAAGTTTTTATCAGCTGTGTTTTGTCGCTGTATAAAGTATTTCCGATGTCTAGAGAGGCAGGTAGGTAGGTTCTATACAGGTCACTAAGTGCAGATAGACAGGTCGCTAAGTGCAAGGCAGGGTAACAGATGGTGTGATACTGTTTCATCCTGGCAGTCACACAGTAGACAGTCAGGTACTAGGTGGGGTATCCTTGCGAATCTTACTTACGTAGTAATTCAATGGGATGTGTTGTTTTGGCAGGTGAAAGATAGTGACTTGTTCTGTTCTACTCAGGGAGTTTAGTGCATCTTTTGAGTTTGGAGCAGTCATGTCTGCAAAAAACAGCTCTTCCAGTTTAGCCCAATGCCCATCAATTCAGCCACTGTTCTATGGTGTTAAATTTGATGATGTTCTTGGCTGTCTGTTGTGATACTGGGTGTTGAGATTGTGTTTGTGATGCTCCCTTCTCGGCAACGGTGTCTGCTCGGTCGTTTCCTGGGATGTTGCTGTGGCCAGGTGTCCACTGCAAAGTAAGGGCGACAGCGTAGGTCTGCATGAAGGTGTTAATTGTTTGAGCTACAGATAGGCAGGCTGGGCTTTGGAAATTCGTGTTTTCTAAAGCTTGGAGTTTGAATACTGATTTTCCGTCTGTGAAGATTACAGGCTTGGTTTAGATCAAATTTTTGATTAAAATGTAAAAAAAAAAATTGAAGTAAAATCTCAGTTTTAAATTAATAACACTTTAAATTTAAATAATCATTAAAATAACGCTATCTACAATTTTTATTGTAAAGGTCAATGGCCTTCATAAAATCGAGAATTCTGTTGGGATCAAAGACAGAGAACAGATCTTAGCATTTTTTTGCATCTAAAAATACTTCCCTCGGGTCTCTCCGAAGTCTGGACATTCTGTTAAACTGTTTTAAGATGTAGTGTAGGCCTATCTAATGGTGAAATCTGTGTCGCATCCTACACGGAACGGTTTCTCTTCTCTCTGAAGGGGGTATTTATGTGTCAAGGAGGTGTGTCCGGTGCGTAATCGAGTAAAAATGACTTCGTCTTTTCTGGAGAGGCGCGAAAGTTTTCAAGGACCCAATTTGGGCATGATGTTGTGGAGTTTGTTGTTAATTTGTTTCTCCCACTGTGTCTCCCACAGACTGGAGGTGTAGTTTTTGACTTAATTATTTATGTCAGTATGTGAGACAGCGTTTGTGACTGTGTTGTCGTTGATCTGAACAGAAAGGACGAGGATTCCTTTGCCAGGAGATCCACCTGCTCGTTTCCGCGGTTGTCCACATGGCTAGGTAGCCATGCGAACAGGATACTTTTCTTGGTTTCTGTCAAAGCGTGTATTTTTTGTTGTAACCTGACTATTTTTAGTTTTTATGTGTAAGAGTGTGTAGTTATAAGTGAGGTGATGCAAGACAGAGATTTGTTAGGGAAATTTTCCACGGAGTCCAGTGCCATGTCATGGCCTCAGCAGAGAAAATGGAGGCTTCGGAATGGAGTCTCCTCTGGTGTGTACTGTTTGAAGATAGGGCAGCAGCACCTACAACAGAGTCCGATTTGGAGCCATCTGTGAAGATTAGCTCCGCACCGGATATTTTTCTATAATAACTGTTTTGAATTATTCTTTAAAATGTTTTGGTGTTTTTGCTTGCTTTGTTGTGTGGGGCGAGCTTGTACGTCTACTTTTGCCTTGGTGAGGTCGGGGAAAAGGAATTGTTCGATGTCTTGTTTGGAAAAGTGAAGGCCTATGTTTTAGGACTACACCTATGACAATGACGCCGAAAGGCTTGATGAGTTTTTCCTTGTTTATGTGTTTGTGGTGTCTGGGTGTGTTCTGAAAATGTAGTCATGCGCTGGGTTCTCTGGTGTTGAGCTGTTTAATTGCGTATTGTAGTGAGAGTTGTGTGCGTCTGAGTCAACTGAGCGTAACTTATGGTATGTTTGCCTCGACCTCGAGGCTCTCCACTGGAAAAGTGCAGGAAGCCCCCAGGGCGAGATGGAATCCTTGGTTTTGTACTGGGTTTCACATTTTTAGGAAGTGGGCTTTTGCCGATTCATAGACTTGACAGCCTTGGTCAAGCCTGGATCGGACAAGGGAACACTTTAGGTGGAGGTGTTTTCACTCCGAATGAGATTTTTAAAAATTAAGCACCACGCACGAAGGTCTTTTATCTGTAGAATGAAAATAAGTTTCTTGTCAAATATAATTCCAAGGAAACGAGCCTGGTCCTCGACGGGAACCCTTTCCGTGAATAGTGTCACTTCCGGCTGCAGCACTGCAGCACATGTCTGCCTGATCGGCAGAAATGTACTGCAACCTTCTTTGACGGGGAAAACTTGAAACTGTTTTCATTTGTCCACTTTTCAAGTTTGTGCAGCTGCCTTTCCATAGATCTTAGTTTAGAATTTTTGGAACGGCAGAATATCAGGAAGTCATTAACGCATAACGAGCTATCTATGCTATTTTGGAGGGTCTGAACGATGGAAAGATGAGATGTAAAAGGATGCTTTCCTAGGGAACACGCTCCTGTTGGTAGGGATCTGAAATGCGTGCTTTGGATGCATTAAATAATAATAATTACCATAAATATAAGGATACACCTAAAACTTTAAGTTGAAAAGTACGCAAAATTAAGTCAGCCCAGCTAGAGAGGCGACAGGAACTGACCCCCGAGACCTCGATGTGATAAGGCATTAGACGGAGAACCCCCTGCTACAAAAATTCCGCTGATGGTGCGCCGTGCATAGCTTTGCCTAGGTGGTTAGGATTAGAGGACCTTAGTATGCCTACTACTTCCCTCTCTTCAGATGTTGACTCCCCAGATGTGCTCCAAAGGAGAGACATCATCAATACATTTGGAATCAAGGGAGGTGTATACATGAATACATGTACTTGTAAAGTCAAGGTTCTGGTGCACTCATAATATGGTGCAAAAAAAACCTTTTACCTAAGGAAATAATAACTTATAAACTAGCTCTTTATTCAAAGCTGAAGACAAACTGTGTCTCACCACTTTCATTAGTTTAGTACGAATTTTTTATGGCGCTTGAACTACTGCATATAAAGCTGTCCCCGTCGGAATATGCCCGCAGCCTCGTTTTTTCGCATAATTCTGCAACATTTACATAATTTTGGATTCCCCGCGTTTTTTCAGGGTTTTTTTTTTTCATTTTTCACGAAACATTTTTTAACGCCTCGCCATGTGACTAAAGGGAAGTAATCATTGTAATAAGTCTCAATTAAGTGATAAGTTGGTTATTTCCATTGTCAGAAGATCTTTTTTAATGGTTGTGGGTTAGGGATTTTGTTCTTCGAGTTTGAGCATGTTCAATTTTTCAACCCATTAAAAGTTGTTCTCTTATCTGCTGATGTTTCATGTTTGACAGGTGTCCCTGGTTTTAGTGATGTACCAGCATCAGTCAGAGGTCCAGATGTCTTTTTTTTTTCTTTTTTTTTTTTTTACATTTTTCTCTCCTCTAGATCTATAGATCAACAGCTGAAAGTTACAGAGATTATATATTTTTTGGTAGTTTTTTTTTCTGACAGATGTGTATTGTTTTCTTTCCAAATACACAACAAATTACTGATACTGATATGTTCTGTTTTCAAGTTTTCTGTGCATAAAACATGAACATTCTTGTTGAAAAAAACAGCAACACATGTCGCGAATGGCGTTACAGTAACTTGCATAATTTTGCATTTTTCTTGCATAATTTGGCCATCAAAATTTGCATAATTCTGCGGGGACAGATAAGGCCATATGAGCCCGCGAAACAGGTTGGTTGCATTCACAACAGTTCACTGCATGGTTTGATTTTTGTCAATATCTCTCTATAAAAATGTTAAAATGTTAAAAATTTGTGGTAAAAAAATTTCTTGGTTTAAAATAACATTTAAAATCTTAACATTATTCACAATTTACCGTAAAGGCCAATGACCTTATAAAATCAAGAATTCTGCTGGGATCAACGACAGAGAACAGATCTTGCAATTTTTAGCATTTAAAATATTTCCCTCAGGTCTCTCCAAAATGTGTCTAATGGTAAAATCTGAGTCCCATCTGACACAGAACGGTTTCTCATCTCCATGAAGGAGGTATTTGTGGGTCAGGGAAGTGTG